CGTTGTGAAAGGGGGCTAGACGGAAAAATTCTCACGAAAGGTTGTAACGACACTTTTTATGTCAGTCATTCAGCGCCATCTATGGAATAGATAGGAAATCATTAATGTATAAATTGTTTTAATTAGAAACCAACTGAAAAATATGTAGGTAATAGCCGCTTTCATAGATGGCGTTGTAATTAAAATCGTGTCGAATCAGTTTTACTCGATCGTCACAACTTCGTTCCTATCGGGCGTCACACGACACCACACGGCTTTTTTTGATTGAGTAGATACAGTTGTTGTAGTTACATATTACTATAAGAACATCTATCAGCCCATTTTGGATATACAATAATATAAAGATTAAGATTAAGAAATGAAGGAATAACAATATATTGCATATCTGTACATGTTTGGACTCTAAAAATTCTTGAACGGTGAAGAAGCATTTGGCAGTTAGCCATTTCTCTCTTAGATTTTGCCGACAAAGCATATCATTCTAAATTATTATGTTATAATTCTACATTTTAATACGAGGATCAAACGAGGATTTCGAAACTATCATTAAGATGACCATTTTAGAAGTTTAATCTAATATACTTTATAACAGAAACGGTTGATGTATATGGTGGCGAGTGTACCAGAAGCACGTCAGCCCCTACGAAACTATTCGGATGTGACAATAATTGAAATTTGTGCCCGGAGGCATTCATGGCAAATAACTTTATTCAGCATTTAGCTTCCAATTTTACTTGAATGTTTTGCACACGGAACGAAACTTTCCCCTATCTAACATGACTACGTAAAAACAAATGGTAATTTTACCTATTCTTAATAACTTTTAATTTTTACAAAGAGTTTTAATAAAGTTTGATTGCAACATTTTTTTTGTTTAATATACTCTAGAACAAAGTGAGCTAGCCCCTGTAATGTCAATTAAGGCTCCCTTTGGACTTCTTATGAAAAGGTATTTTGCATAGAAGCATTTTAACCAATTCGAAGCTCCCCAGCAAGGAAACTATCGTGATCCTACATACAATGACAACAAGAACAATATAATTCGGAGCGAATCAAATATTCGATCTAGACTAGAGTAAGATGTTATATTGTGAACGGGTGCTGATTATCTCTTGTAGTGACAGTCATTGTATGCTTGAAAGTTGTAGACGAACACTTGCAGTCTCCTAAAGTCGTTCCTGATTAAGGTGTCAGATACGCAATGAATACCTACCTACATTAGATTTAAATGCTTAAGGTAAAAACAGCCATTAGATCCCATCCATTTTATGGAACCCTACATTCGGGGCATATGCAGTTTTTTAAAGTTCACCCGCGCTAGTTCTGTTAAACATTACTGCAATATAATTTTATATTTATAAAATGTAATTGTATATTTCACTTTAAAGATATACAAGTGATGGTTCTTGTAAACACATGTTTTCTGTTGACCCGCGTAACCCACTTCAGGAATCCTGGCAGTTGACTTCAGATGTGAACCCAATACTTAGGTAGTAGCAGAAGTTAACAACAAAATCATTCAAACCTCAAACCTAGGTCTTTTTTTTATTTACGGTTTACTAAACTGGAAATACACTTTCAAAGAGTATACTCGTACTTAGCACTATTATCTAAAGTACATTATTAGTGTATCGCTTACTAGAAGTGAACTCTGCATTGAAAACTAGAGACAATTAAAATAATAAATATATTAATCACAATCATGACGATAATCTAAGTCTTGACACTAAGAATGTATACAAATAATAACAATACTTAGATAACTACACTTTTAAAGACTAAACTGTTGAATAAAACCAAAAATGTCAATATCATTATCAACTTTATTATATGCAGAACACATACGGTACAACGGTGCATGCTGACCGTAATTTGTGCGGCAGAAAGGTAAGCTAAAAATTTTCTGTTAATAATACGGCTACCTGGACGTGGCACAGCCAGAATCAATTTTTCGAGTAGGGTAGGGCTCTCTTCTTTTCCATTGAGTAGTTTGTTTGTTAAACGATGACAAAAATATTTCGTCGCTCCAGTGAAATAAGATTGAAATACATATGTCAGTCTGGATTCATAGGTCGTTAGTTTACGGCTAAGGTTATGAGCGTATGATAGATGGTACAAAATTTTTCTTTTGAAGCCCTTCCAATTGTAAAATGTGTACTGCGTATGAGGGGCTCCATACCTGACACCAGTAGTCAAGTAATGATCTCATATAACTGTTATAAAAAATTAACGGCATCAAAGTCTTTAAAGAACTTAGTACTTGTCGTATGACAAATTCAGCTAAACATGCACTCTATATGATCTCGAAAATCCAATTTATTATCAACCACTACACCCAAATCCCGCATGTTCGATGCTTTAGTGATTGGGATGTTATTTATGTAGTATGTAGCAGATGGAGGTTTTCGCTTTCGTGAGAATTCCATGTGAAAGCATTTAGTAATTGTGTATTACGTCTATGTCCATAGCGTTTTGGAGTATTGCTATCCTGTCTATAGTAGTAGTTATAGTAGGCCAAAGGCCTCCTTTCTAAGGAGAGGCTTATGTCCAGCAGTGGACTATTAAAGGCTGTTGATGATGTCCTGTCTGGTCACCGCATAATACGGTTTATATTGCAAGAATAGAGAGTTAACAGAAGAGGTTCGTAAGATTCCTTAAATTTAAATGTAAGAAGCGCTATGATTCCTGCTCCGTTGACAGTGAACACTATCATCTGCTCTCCCTTAATGACATACGTATGATGCTGGATATATTGTTGCTTTTTGATATTCTGCGTGGTGGGCTTGACTGTTGTGAGCTACTTTCAGCTGTCGAATTCAGTAAGGTCATCACCGATTAGACATACGCATTTGTTTAAAGTACCTTTCCATCGCACCTATTATGGTAGAAATGCTGTTATGACCCGGCTAGTTCGCACATACACTAAGAGATTTGAAAGTTTGGACATATTTATATTGTCAAAGAAATCCTATGGAGGCGAAATCGTGAAGATATACCCCGGTAATTATTTGGTTTAGGATTTGTTTTTATTTTAAGTTTAGTATTGTGTGTTATGTTTTTTCTGGTTTTTTTTTTCTTTTCGTGAAGGTTTTTGCTTTTAGCTATTTCTTAGTTAAAGAGCCAACAAAATGTCATGAAACTCTTTAATTAGCTTAAGCATACTGTATTAGTGTCACATCATGTGTGTAATGTAAACAAGCTGTGAGTTTTTATCAATAAATTAATAAATAGATGTGTTTTATTGTCATTCCGTTTATGGAACACCATTTTGAAGAGAATTTATATCATTGATATTGTTGATAACTCGGTAAATCTTGAAAAAATATGGGAACTGGATGTTATGGCGGAGCACAGGTAATTTATATAGACCAAAAAGAAAAGTGGTCCCAAGTGAGAGCGCCGGGCATACCGGAGGGAACTGTCCTGGTTACAGATTTGAAGCCTCTAATTTTAACTCGCTGTGACCTATTTCTAAGGTAAGACTCGCACCATCTCAGTAACGAGCCACAAATGCCAGCCCGAGCCAACTTTTGTATAAGAAGGAATGTCAGTATAGATGGCATGTACTTCTCTATGATCCTCAAATGTTTCATATATATTTGTTACGTAGTCTAAAAGGTTCGACGATGTTGATCTGCTGGGTAAGAACCCGTGCTGATGGATGTTGAATTTGGACTTCAGGTGAAATTGAATTTTTGTTTGAATCAACTTCTCAAACACCTTACCCAATACGGCCAGAATCGAAATGGGTCTGTAATTTGAGATATCACTCTGGTTCCCTTTTTTAAATATAGGTGTGATGTGTACTAGCTTCCATTTATAAGGAAATGTCCCGCCACAGAGAGACTTATTAAAAGTGTAGTACAGTGGATCAACAAGCTGTTCTGAACATTTCTGCAGAAATATTGGTGGTATAGCATCTGGCTCTGGTCCTTTCCCAATGTTTAATAATGTAAGGGACCTTTGAATATCTGCTCTAGAAATACAGCATACCATAGCAGTGATTGTGAGTAATCGAATGAATTAGCGGTAATGACAGCCTTCTGTGTGTTTATTTTAATGAAAGTATTCAACAAAATGATTGCTAATATTCTGCCCAACATTAGCAGTTTTATCATTTAAGAACATTTCATCAGGTATTTCACAACTGTTTGATCATAGGGATTTGATTAAAAGCCTAAAATATTTAGGGTCTTTTTTTATTTATTGTTTCGATTCATTCTTATAATTATTCTGAAACTATTGCAGGATTGTTTTGCTCCGAGCACGTAAAACCTGGTAAGTGACTAAATCCCTAGGGTTATCATATTTTTATATCTGTGGTGCACCTTGTTTTTTGCTTTCAGAGTGTTCAATAGTAAGGCACTGAACCAGAAGGGATATCTGTAACTGCCACTGATTCGTTTGAGTGTGTTGCTGGATATTATTTGATTGTGTGTCAACAATCTCATCAATAATTTCATTAGGCCTAAAGTGTTTGCCCCAGTCGATCACTTCTAGCTCGCCCCTAATTTTCTGATGATTCGTCTTAGAAAAGTTAAAAGATGTGGATTTATTAGCCTTTGTTGTTTTTTGATGGAAAAAATTTACACTAAAATCTAATGCTGCTAAATACCAGGGGGGTCATGCATTGGCGAACTTTGAAGAGTTTAGAATTGCTGGTTATAATTAAGTCGAGTATGCGGCCTTTTGCGTTGTTGATTAGATTGATATTGATAAGACCATTGAGAGATAGTGTGTCTCTACTGTCTAAGATCTCGTGGTCATAGACTGAATCATTCCGTCAGTCCGTCAGTCCGTCTCAGTCAGTATGATCACATCATGGTCTTGCATGAGCACGTTATTCCGCATGATATAGGTCTTAGTTCTGAGACTCCTAACATTTTGGTATAAAACGTTTAAGATGGTGCAACTGGTTTAGTCTGGTCCAAAAATCTATTCATAAAATAACGCAGAAAAAAAAGGAAAAATAAATGGAGAACAACAAAATAAAAATTAGATTACAAAATATTGCTCAGTCCTTCGATGTTATCTCCAGTTAGAAATTGAATATTCGCGACAGTATTTGTGGTTTGGACGGGAGTACGGGTACCTTCAACTCTTTTGTCACTAGGTTTGCATTCCGCAACACTTTCAGGATGCCTTATAAGCTTCGATTCCTTTGAGAAATTTTCTGTCGCTGTTCTCATGTCATCTGTTTCACTGATAATGGTATGACGCATTGCACTTGGAACAGGATTATTGCACACACTCATGTTAAGAATAGTTTCACTTCTGAAATTCAGCTGCCGCTATGACTAAGTGAAAGGTATTATTATAATGATAATGATTCCTAAAGAATTGTGATAAGTGCCTGTTACCTGCGATATATCTTTGAATTGTTTTTATAGTTATTTTCCATCCGCTGTACTTGCCCTTGCATCATGCACACGCAATGAATCAACGAACGTCGTGTGAACTAGGCTGTGAATGAATCGCCCCATAATTTTCCATAAATTTTAATTTTACAGACGATGTTTGTTTACATTTACTTACAATATGCTAGTTATAACTACGCTACAAGTACAGGAACTATAGCTAGAATTTATAGATTATAAGGCCAGAAAGAGATAGAAAAAGAGCAAACATGGTGTTGCAAAAAGTTGTGGTCATATTACATTGCGTCACTCAAATTCAAATTTATAAATAGAACATCATTTTTAAATAGAAATATATATTTAAAAATTAAAACGCAACTTTTTTATACAGGTTCAGTCCAGTAGCAGCTGCTCCCTCTAGTCTGCATTCAACGGGGAGCCACTCAAACTGTGGATTGCGAAGATACTTCAGATTGGCTTGCCCCTTGATGTAGCGTTAAAGATGTTTTTAAATGTTCACTCTGCATTCTCTGTCGTTCGGACTTATACTGGATGCATCTTTTCTAAATCGTTAAATATTACAAACCTTCTATCCCCACGACTGCGGTGATAGACTTGCACAACCAGTTGTGGAAAAAATGGTATTCCAGGCACAATACGGCCCTTAAAACTTTCAGGAAAAAATCTTTTACAAGTATGTTATCACAATACCGGCTCTGATTGGTTAGGATCAGACTGGCCCTAACACACAGTCGTAAATTATTATTCTTTGCTTTTATTTGGTTTAATATAATATAAATTAAAAAAAAAAAACAGAAACCTTATTTTGTAACCGAGAAATTATTGTTTTGACAAATTAAACTTACTAGCTTCCTTTACATTAATAAGACTAGTGATATATACATTAATAAGACTTGTATACCTACTCGATACTGATAATTAAAAACGAACTTATGGTGCAGTTACACCTAATCCATCCTTTATTGAATGACCGAATCCGTCGGTCAATTGTTGAGTGAGTAGCAAAACTAGCAGACGCAGTAGACCTAAGTCAAGCGGGCCACTTACCTTATTATTATTTTTCTAAATCTTTCAAATTTTGTGCCCGTGCTTCTTGAAAATTAACCTACAATCACAAACGAAAGAAGTACCCACCTACTCAAAATATTTCATTACATTAAGGACGCCATCAAGTATACTTTCCAAGAATCGCTTAAATGTGAACAATTTCCAACAAACGGGGCATGAAAGATTTCTAAGTAACTAATTGTTATTTGCCTGTAGAGTAAAGTACAGTTTATTAAAAGGTGGAGATAATTAAATTAAGCGGGACGTCTTTGACGCCAGCCCAGCTAATATTTTTATTAAGGGTACCGTTACTGCTGAATAGGAGCACTAGGGATGTGACGCTTCCTCGTGTTGTCGACATATAAGACGACATATAAGACAACAGTTAAGATTAGAAGATTTCTTATAATATTTAGCCAAGAGGTTCGTATGTTTAACTTTATCTACGTAATATATTGCCAGTATATATCCAAAACTTTAGCTATGTTTCAGGGTTTTATAAGCGTTTATATAAAAATTGATGGATATACAGTTATCGTATAAAGTTAACCCTCGTTTCAATGGCACAGGGAAGAATAAGAAAATTCAAAAAGACTTATAATAGGCAATTTATCTTAAACATGGATTAAAATACAGTATTTATCGACTTTGCGTTATAAGGTAACTACAGTAACACATATCTAGCAGATACAGACACGCCAAAACTATGAAATTACATTAGCCGCCGAGGTAAATTAAAAATATGCGTTGCGTATTACTGCACTTCCTCATACCCCAATTTTGTATAATTTTAGAAAAGAACTAATTGATGGATATGTTATGGGCGTTTGGATGAAAAAAAAATAAGAAAAAAGTATGCGTACAAATCAATAAAACGTTAAATAAAAAAACAATTTTTAATAAAAATGGTTTATAAACAAAATAGAAGGCATCACACATTAAATACACATATAAATAATCTGAACATATAATCTATATATAGCTATATAATTATATACATGTTAAGTTTGTTTGTGTACGGTTGACCCCAACTTTTGACACGAAGTACAAACCGCTTGAAATATTGTTTTTATCTATTTCTCGAGTCAGTTTTGTTCCTAATTTCTCATCAATACAACCACAATGTGACAGTGGCAAAGTACAGCTATTTAAATTGAAAAAGCAACATATCATACAAACATAAAAACCTTAAGTTATTACGCTATCGATATCGACATCCTAACTACCACTTCCACCTAAAACTTTTTTCTTAGACGTAGATGCCCGGGTTTGAAGTCGGCGGTAATTACTAACTCTACCCCACGGTCGGATCCTATCGCAGCGAGGCCGCACGCTGTACAATCGAACCAATTGTACGGAATTAATAAATAACACACAATTTAGTAAAATAAAATCAATAATTAGGTTTGCTTCTGTCAGAAAGAATTATATTTTCATATTTATCAACTTGCGTAAACAAGCTTGTAGGCGTGCACAATCAGTATTTTTCTAAAACTCGTTAAAGATCACTATCCTAGCCTATGAAAGTTGTATCGTCATGTAATTGTAGTGTTGGTACATTTTTTCTTTTTTTCCCGTAGATTCACATCACATCACATCAACAGCCTTTAATAGTCCACTGCTGGACATAAGACTCTCCTTGGAAAGGAGGTTTTGGCTTCTATACCACGCTGGCTAGACGGGTTGGTATAGGGTTTGTGTCAAGTTTTCTTTCTCTCTGCAGTGCTGTTGTTCTGCGTAGTTTGCTCCAATAGTCGACTATTACGACACCCCCGGGATGAATAGGGGTGGTGACACTCTGTATTCTCAATCCGTCACCACACGGACTTCCAGTCCTGTAGATTGTTAGACTATAAAATCAAATGAACGTGCTTTACAAATCTGTTTTCATCAACACCAAACTTTTTTACATTACAAATCACCTTTAATATTGGGTTTATCAATTAAATATTAATAGGAAATTCGCTATTAGTAACTAAAATACTTCTACTAGTACTTGTAGTTTTTCGCAGTTTTATGTCAAACTTATTTCATTAAAATTGTTAAACAATTTAATTTTTTCATAAGGATTTACTCTGTTCCTAGTCACCTTCACATTCATAATAGGCTCATCACTGCAGGAGTTTCTCTTAAATTGGTTTAGAATATAGTATCAGACCAGAAGCATAGACAAAAAATCCAATATTTTTTCATGTAATATGCAGTAGTAGATTGTCATACGTCATTTAAATTAGATACCAATGACAGAAATAATACAAAAATATATTATTTTATTTTTTAAGTAGCAGGTATATGCAGTTTTGATCACCGAGAGCTGCACCCACCCTTATGAACACGGGTGTAATAATAATGCAACAAGGGACATTAATTTTCCAGCTGACGACTCTCACGCTAGCATAAACTTTGCAAAAAATACTGTTTAAACGTAATATTTCTACCTATTACCTTCTTATAAGATTAAAAAACTCTTGCACTACCGTAAATCAAATTGCGTCACTGACCGAACATATTAGTATTTTGTTGAGGAATCACAAGAAATTCTTCAGACGGAGTTACAACAAAACTAACAGCACTTTTTATTTTTGGTGTTGCCTATGACAAACAATGTATATAAATCGGGACACCAACACGATCATAAGGGTACCCTTTTTTTTTTTTTTTTTTTTTTTTTTTCCGTGCGGAAATCCCCTCGGATACCTGTCGGTGGCATGTCGGACTCGAACCGACTAAAACCGCACGCCTTCGCCGGGTACTAATAGCCGGGGAACCAGGTATACCCTAGAAAGGAAGGCCCTGGTGCCCCGACATACCTCGGGTCATCTACAGACGAGTAGACGACCCCCGCCCCGTGTGGGAACCCCATGTTCCCTGTGCTCCCTGGAAGCGAGCGCGCTACGCAACGCGCTCGCCGCCACCCCGGCCTGAAGTACTTTAATATTTATGTTATTTTAAATTGTATTGGGTTATCGCGATAACCTATGCCCTTTATCAAGAATCAAACTATCTCCATACCAAATATTTCATCAAAATGGGATCTTGATTCCCATTCCCCATACAAACTTCCACTCCTCTTTTCACCCCCTTAGAGGATTAATTCTGGGATAAAAACTCTTGTTCTTTCTTGTGGCACTCAAACTAGCTTTATACCAAATTTCCTATAAATCGCTTAAGCGGTTTAAGGGGGACCCTTCCCGCTTAAACTGCTGTAGCGATTTAGACGAAATTTATCTTCTGTCTGAAGATAGACAGACAGGCAGACAAACACACTTTTTTAATTTTATTATGTTATATTAATATTATAAAATTAGTATGGAGTAGAACTTTTGCATTTTAACTGATATGATTGTCTATAAAAAATTATGACATTAAAACAATAGTAAATCTTAATATTACTCCATCCCTGTCTGTCATAAAATATATAACAAAGGCAGAACTTACTATGTGAATTACGATGTAAAACCAATAAGTAGGTACTTAATTCTGTTTGTTCAAAGAATTGCATCATACTCACGACATTTCGATACCTCCTAAGTATACTGAGTCATCTAACAAATTTAGGTATTTTAATATTTTTACATAAACGGACATACTAAACCATGATCTTGATGTTAGTGTTAAAAATAAATAAAAAAGAACAATAATTACCGAGATATTTTCACGTATACTAAATCAATTACAACATCAGTTAAAATCGTACATTGTATACTGATCCAAATGATGTCGTACCAGTGTACGCCGGACGTGTGGGGGGACGCATTGATACAAGTTTATTGTGGCTCAATATACGATGAATGGCAGCATGTGTACACGCAATTTTACTTAAAATTATG